TTTGACCAATTTTTCGTTTCTGATGTTCAATATAGAACGCTAAAGTATGATTCATGAAATATCGCATGAATCCGAATTTAAATTAAATTATCGTTACGGAAGATAATTCCCAGCAATTAAAGTTAAAATTCTCTTCAATAGTTAAAATCAAAGTGTGTTTTAGGATATTAAACAAACGTATGAAGCATTTCGCTCCCAAAATAATAAAAAAAAAATATACCAAAAATGCAAAAACTTTCCTGAATTACCGTTACGGAAGTTAAATTTTTAAGAGAGACAACTGTTTTTGTCTAATTCATTTTGTTATGTCGAAAATGTAATCGTCTAAAATAGCTGACTCGCAATAAGAATCGATGATATAAGGTTCCGTGGTCACTTTCAAATAAGTTTCAGTTCTTTTTGAAATCTGCATTCTATGCGTGAAAGTTAAAACAAAATTGTTACGGAAGTTAAGCGACATGCTTATGATTTCGCATAAAAGGAGATCCATGCATTTCTTTGCGAGAAGTGGTTTGATTTCTTTTTATGTAGGATAAAAGACATTTTTTAACATTCATTGCAATCTATTCGGAACGATTTTACGGCTGAAAATTTCATCTTGAAATTTGTAAATAAATGAAGCGACATTAAGATTTGTAGTGGAATACGTTTTTCAACATTACATTATGTTCATATCAAAACTTTAACTGCATATATATCGGTAAATATATACAAAACCATGTGTGTATGTTCAGTCTTAGAGTTGAAATCGACCTTTAAATTCATAGTTAAGATATTACAACGGTAAATTTGTAAGCGACATAGAAAATTCTTAATTGGTCATGTTTTTTGTAGAATGACTGAGGAGTGAAAGCGATTTAAGTATAAACTCTTTCTACATGTATCAAATAAAATTGACCAGTATAACTAAAAACTGATTGACTACATGCTTTGTTTTAATAGTATCACTAAATCCTCTTTTATAGAAGTGTTATTTGTAAATTTGTTTGTATTTCTGGAAAGAAAAAAAAAGAGAGGAAAAAACACATATTTTGGCAATTATGGGTCTCATTCGTTGCCATGGCAACCGCGACGTCATTTTACTCTGCATAATTAAATACCTTAAGATTTTACGTTTCAGAAAATATATAGGTTGCTTTAGTAAAAGTGACTAGAAAATGTCTAAATATCTATTTGAAATCTTTTAGTCAGATTTGCAGAAAAAATGCAGTCTCTAGTAGTTAAAGGGTTAAACAAGTGGACGATTTGTGTGTATTCCAAATTTCATTTTGCAATCTTTAAGATTTTTCTTTCGAAGTAAATTCATTGTCTACCCTTAGAAAACTGAGAATTTAATTATGACCGTTAATGGATAATGCATTTACAAATTATCCTGATAGCGAATTATTATCAACCCTTTTATCTCTAGAAATATTGTTTGACGCCTTTAGATTCAAAGAATCTTTCAAACATTTGAAAGAATTAATGGAATTGAAATTATTCTAGACTTCCCATTTCCATATTCACAACTGTTACAATAGTTTTAGTGGATTATCAGAATCTCAAATTCAATATTTGACAATGTATTACAAAAGACACGTGCTTTGCGACATTAGTGAGGATATTTTCTGTTTCCATACTTACATGTACAAGGTGTAGAAATGTACTTTGTGGAGTTGTTTGACATGAAGGTATTCATGAGAAGCTTAAAATCGAACAATGGATAAAATTTTGGCGAGTGATTTTTTTTCCGGGCTTCCATTTAAATTCTTTCTATATATTTGAACCAAACTCGACATACATTTTCATCTGTGTCAAGAATGTGTTTCTTATTAATAACCGCATTTCAAGCTTTAGTAAATCCGCATAGAATTAATATGGGAAGTTTAATGTCGCCAGAAATAAAAAAAAAATGTTGCCCATGTACATGTATAGGTACATGTATAAACTTGCAAAAGTTCCCAAAACTGGAATTTCTCGATGTTAGTTTCAACAAAAACATTTACATAGGAGTAATAGGTTTATATAACACGTCACTTCAAATGCAATATCTTTCCATACAATATAGATTAAAAATAAGTGTTACGTTAACACTTTCTGTTTCGAATGAGTTGCAAGTTATACATTATAACAATAACTATATCCACAATATTAAAATTAAAGAGGGCTTTATCATTCTCAAACAATTTTCCTATAAGTCAAGATGCACTTTACATTTTGGGGTTTGATACATCCAATTTAGGAGTTCTTAATTGGTATCACCGACAACATATATCCCCTCATGTATTCGAAAGAGCAACAAAACTAAAGAGAAATATTCAGGAAATATAAGATTAAATTTCGATTGGTTAAAAAGCATATTCTATACTCTTGAAAAACTTGAGGAATTAGACCTGCAAAGGAGTTATTTACACTATACCTTTCACTAACTTTATTAAAATATCAAACATCTGTATTGTCTCTAAACGTATAGGTGGTAACTTTTTTCATCCTTCCCTGAGTTACCCTGAAATATGTACAAGTACAAAATTAAAAATTGCTGAACATCAGTTATAACAAAATTGCATCTCTAACAGAGGCAAATTTAATCATCCTTAAACGTCAAAAAAGTGTAGAGATTCTATTTCAGGAAAATCGTCTAACTTTTTATTGTCTAAATGTTCATTCACTCAGAAGGATGGAGGAGATCTAAATGAAACTAATACTAGATGCAGTAAAAAGAAAGTATCAATGTTAGGACTACTACAGGAAATTGATTTGTAGAATTTGAAACAAAGTTGTCAGTCAGAAACATTATCGGGTTAGCCCTTTCTTTTTCTGTGTAAGTAATTTTACATAGCATTTTACATGCTGAATATATCAATCCAAAGAAAAACAAGATGTGTTTGTGAAACACTGATGCCCCCGTATGGCAGCTTATGGCGAATTTTAAAGTTTCTTAAATGCAAGTCAAACTCCAGGTCAAGAAATCAAAAATGTTGGTACCCAAAGAAAGGTCTTGTCTCTAGAAATATACCTGTGAAATATGAAAGACCTAGTACCAACCGTTGAAAAGTTATGGCGGAGGTTAAAGTTTTCTTAAAGTAAGTAAAACGGCAAGGTCAAGGTCAAATGGTACCCAAGGGAAGATCTTGTCAAAGTGATACACATGATCATGAAACGTGAAAGCCCTAGAAATAACGTTCAAATATTATGGCCAATGTTAAAAATTTTTAAAAGTAGGTAAAACTCCAAGGTCAAGGTCAATGCCAAAATTGTTGGTATCCAAAGGAAGGTCTTGTCACAAGGAATATACATGTGAAGTATGAAAGCCCTAACATCAACTGTTCAAAAGTTATGCCCAAGGTTAAAGTTTTTCAAAAGTAGGTCAAACTTTAAGGTCAAGGTCAAAGGGTGAGAGTTGTTGTTATTTAAAGGAAGGTCTTGCCACAAGGAATGCATATGTGAAGTACAGGGTGTTTCATAATATGTGTGACATTTTGAATCTTTAATTTCACAAACACAAGAAAAAGATATAGACAAGTGTTTTTATCTACTTGATGCATGTATCTATAAGATTCATTGTGTACAATTACCAACTAAAATATTCCACACTGGACAAAATCTCAAACATTAATGAAAATTAGTGAAATTTCTAAATTACGTCATTTTTGTTACGTTGAATTTCACAGCGTCAAAAGCCCACGTACATTACGTTCTTAATGATCTCCACTATTTCAACTACAAATGAAAGTTGCTTCTCAAAATTTGTATAACTCTGTCACATATTTTTTGCTTAGACACTTTTCATTTCTTTAGAGCTCATTCAGTATCTGTGGTCTAGGATTGTAGACCCTGTTCCTAAACAACCCCTACAGAAAAAAAAAACCGCAAAGATTGAGATTGGCGAAAGCAGAGGCCAAACTCTTTTCTTGGGGAATTGCATTATTGAAAAATTGTACTCTGATAACTTCATATCATATTTCAAAATTCAATATGATAGCCCTAACACCAACTGTTCAAAAGTTATAGCCAATGTTAAAGTTTTTCAAAAGTAGGTCAAACTTCAAGGTCAAAGGGTCAGAGTTGTTGGTATTTAAAGGAAGGTCTTGTCACAAGGGATGCATATATGTGAAGTATGAAAGCCCTAACACCAACTGTTCAAAAGTTATGGCCAAGGTTAAAGTTTTTCAAAAGTAAGTCAAACTTCAAGGTCAGGGTCAAAGGGTCAGAGTTGTTGGTATTTAAAGGAAGGTCTTGTCACAAGGAATACATATGTCAAGTATGAAAGCCCTAACTCCAACTGTTAAAAAAATATGGCCAAGTTTTTCAAAAGTAAGTCAAACTTCAAGGTCAAGGTCAAAGGGTCAAAGTTGTTGGTATCGAAAGGAAGGTCTTCTCACAAGAAATACATATGCGAAGTATAAAAACCCTAGCACTAACTCTTCAAAAGTTATGGCCAAATTTTTTTTCAAAATTGAAGTAGGTCAAACTCCAAGTTCAAGGTCAAAGCTGTTGGTATCCCAAGGAAGGCCTTGTCACAAAGAATACACATGTGAATTTGAAACCCCAAGCACCAACAGTTCAGAAGTTATGGCCAAGGTTAAAGTCTCATGAAATTTTGTAAAAGTGGGTCAAACTCCAAGGTCAAGGTCAGAAGGTCAAATATGATGGTACCCAAAGAAAGGTCTTGTCACAAGGAATACACATGTGAAATATGAAAGTCATAGCTCCAAGCAATCAAAAGTTATGGGCAAGGTTAGTGTTGACAACAGACAGACAGGACAAAAACAATATATCCCCGGGATCTTTCGATCCGGGTGCATAAAAAACAAAACAAAACAAAACAAAAAAAAAAAACTCACTGAACAATGCAGCCTCCCACCAGCAATTCGGAAATTTAATCGATACCGGTCCGTAATTTGTAGTTTTCAAACATCGAGTTGACGCAGATTGAATGCCTTGTTTGGCTTCGGACTTCGAAAACGGAAAATTTACGTACATGTAAGTTTTTCTTACTTAAGCAGTGTAGCAGTATATCATTTCTCTACCGGTTATAAGCTTCCAGTTTCAAAGGTGCAGTTGATGAAACTATAGATGAAATTCATCCGTGACATTAATATGACAGAATATTTGGAGGTAATTCGAGATGGTTTACGTGAAACATGATTAAACAAAATGCTTTTAAGAATGAAATGTTTAAATGGTGTATTACTGCTACGTTGAAAACAAAGAACGTTCTGAAATTAACTTCTGTACAACTTTTTTCCAGAGTTAGATTGCAGAGGAGACAAGCAAAATTACTGTACAAGTTTTATATGTGTTGGTGAATCCAGGAAGGATCTATAATTGATGTATTTTCAATAATAATATAAAAAAGAATAGAAACCAGTATGTTACCAGAAAGGAAAACAAAAGTAGATCAGCTGATCCGAATCATGGACCATGAGGGACCTGGAGGGGCATATGAGCAGGAGTACTGTATCTGTCGTTCCAAAGACTGTAGTCGATTTATGATGTATGTATAGGGATATTGGGTTAAATGATTAATAGCTTAGTTTTTAAATTGCAGTATAGATTTATGATAGCCGGACCTCTAAAATTGGTAGACCCGGGCGTCGGGCGATGGTAATTGCACACCCCTGCTTTTAATAATCATTAAAACAATCTTATTTCTTTTGCTTCCTTCACCAACAGTGGTTGTGATAACTGTGAGGAATGGTACCATGGAGATTGCATTGGAGTCACCCAGAAAGATGCAGAGCTTATTAAACACTTCTATTGTACTTCTTGCAGAGGTGAGAGGTCACTTTTGATTTTCATATAAATCTGGAAAGATTGCTGGCTTGTTCCCCCTTGTAAACCCTTTAATTGAGCCACTGGAAATTCATCAATCTGAACTCAAAATTTAAATTTATATGTTCAGGTACATGTATTATTGTATGTATTTGATTTTTCTGAAGTGAAACATGTTTCAGTTATCACACTCATGAAGAAAGGGATAAAGAACACATCCATCATTTGTCAGCTTGTTTTTTGTGCATTATGTAGTCCTTTAACCTATAATTCAAAGGTTCTTACATGTAATTCAAAGTATCTAATAAATGAAATTGTATGCATGACCATACATGTACAGGCCTTTCAAAATGTGCTGGTACCCGGTACTTTTATCCAACTGAAATAATGTTTGTACTGGCCAAAATATTTGTTAGTCGAGAAAAAATTGATAAAAATAAACATATTTAATTAAAATCGTTTCCACAAGGTACCTCCCATTTTTATAAAAGTACCACCTGTTTCCAATCTCTTTGAAAACCCTGTATGTACATTGAAAATAGTATTGATGTTTACATGTTATAATTTAAGAACAAGATCCAAGCTTGGAAATCAAATACAAACACAAGAAAAGTTCCAAGGAGAAACACTCCTCCCACAAACATTCATCTCATTCTGACAGAGAATTCCGAAGCAGAGATGTAAGCTTTTTTTATATTAATTTTTGAAGAAGCAAGGTTTTTATTAATTAAAGTTACTTTTAGGTAGCACAATATGATACACGTGTACTTTAAAATAATGCTGAATTTTAGGAATAGGATGAATGACCCTCTTGAAAGGACAGTAATTCTAAAATTGATAAATTGATTACTGTATGTGTGTTTTCCTCTAATCCTTTTCCTTCAACAATATTATAAATTATACTTGTTTGTTAAATTATACTTTTTTTGTATATACTAAATTTTCTTCAATTTCAATTATTTTATATTTACAGATTTTTATTTTTACAGACTTTTTTTCTGTGGATAGGGTTCTTTTTCCTAAATGTACAATATCTCCTTCAAAGTTTGGCACATAATTATTAAAGATACTGTTAACAATTAGAATGTATTTATTGTTGCTGTTTTTTTTTTTTTGGATATTTATCCAAAAAATATGAATGCACAGGAGAGAAAAAAAAAATCATTTTTCTTTCATTTTTTACTAGGATTCTAGTAGTAAGAAGAAGTCGTCGCGACGTTGTGGGGAGTGTACAGCCTGCCACAGAACAGAGGACTGTGCGCGATGTGACTATTGTAAGGTATGTGTATAACCAGTTTGTAATGGTAGTTGTAAAGTGTCCTATATTAAGGTAAACATATGTTGTATTTTATAATTTACATGAATTTGATAGGAAACTTTCTACAAATAAGATTCTGTGTTCTAAGATTGGATATAATTTAAAAAAATATATATATTATATATATATTGGCGAAACGATTTCAATGCACCTGTACATAAAAATTATGTATGTACATACAAAATTTTGTGTTCAAAATCAGAGTCACTCAATGGGAATCCATGTAGATCTAAAGTGATCGAGATCCATATATCTATCAAAGTACAAGAAAGAAAGTACATTATTAGTCCCCTACCGGTGAAACCGGAGGGGACTATAGGTTTCCTCTGAGTCTGTCCGTCCGTCTGTCTGTCTGTCTGTCTGTCCGTCTGTCCCTCTGTCTGTCTGTCAGTCTGTCCCACTTGGTTTTCCGCACTTTTCTTCTAAACGCTTACAGATATTGAGCTGATTTTTGGTATGTAAGTGTATCTTGATGAGTTGCAGATCAAGTTTGCATTTCGTTCCGCTTCATTGATGTTTGACGGGATTACGGCCTTTTCAATTTTTAAGGGTTTTCCGCAATTTTCTTCTAAACGCTTTCAGATATTGAGCTGATTTTTAGTATGTGACTTTACCTTGATTAGTTACAGATCAAGTTTGCATTTCGTCCCGCTTCATTGATTTTTGATGGAATTATGGCATTTTCAATTTTTAACGGGAACCAGATTACACTTGCCGGTAGGGGACTAGTATTGCTAATGCAATACTCTCAGAATGCTTGTTATTACATAATCTTCAATGATTGTATTTAAATGCCTAAATTGTCAAAATGATTTTTGGATGAACACCTGTACATGTACCATATGCATGATATGAAACAGTTATACTCATCAGAAATTGCTAGTTGTCCTTGTCAAACTTGGATCTTTAAAAGGCTTTGTTAATGCACTGTTCATGTTCTCACGAATTATTCTGGGTATCTGAATTTTGACAGGACATGAAGAAGTTTGGAGGTCCAAACAAGATCCGTCAGAAATGCAGACTACGACAGTGCCTCAATTTTGTATGTCCTTAGTACTTGTTCAACCTTAATGATAAGAGTATATGTATTATTTGACATTATAATCACAGCAGTTATAATTAATTACCGTACATTTTAGCTATTAATTTCAGAAGAAAATGTATGCAAACTCAAATTTCGTTATGAAATACATGTATTTAAAACACTCCCATGAATATGTTTCATTAAGTGTGTATTAATGTTCTATAATTCGATAACTAAGAAGTTGTAGCATTACTGTTATGAAATAAAAGTCTTTGAGAAGGGAAAAATTATTTTTCCAGGGTTTGAATATGATGAATAAAAAATCCATAGAAAAGCAAGAGTGTGTTTTGACCACAGAAACCGAGTCTATCAGAACAGAATATTACAGGTAAGAATTTTACAAATGCTCAACTGAAAATTTCAGCATCCATAACTTTGTGTTTTGGCATATTTCACACACATTTATTGATAATACTAAGTTATTTAACAGTATATGATTGTATTATGAATAGCATCCTACTTCTTAGTTTTTATTTTTATGCCCTGCCATGATTTTGGCTGGGGATATAGTGTTTGTCCATCTTCCATCCTTCCATCTGTCCATCTGTCACACTTTGCATTAAGCTTAGTTTCAAAGAAACTGTTAAAGATATAATGTTAACCAAAATTCATACACTATACATCTTGGTGAGTACTTTTCTGACCTTGACCTTCCCTGTGACCTTGACCTTTCAGTACCTATTTAGTATTTGGTTCAGTTTTAAAGCAATTATTAAGGATATTTTTATAAAAAACTCTTACAATTATGTGTGATAGTGGAAGCTACATGTAACCGTTTCATAATTTTCAGAACTTTACAGTTCCTATTACCTTGACCCCATTTATAATTCCTTATTTTATTTTTAACTTGGTTTCAAAGAAACAGTTTTCGATATTTTAAACTAATTAACTGTGTCATAAAATACATATTTTTTTTTTTACTTTGACCTTCCCTATGACCATGTTATCTCTGACTGGGTAAGGAATGATGGTACATACATGTATCTTCTTATATTGCAATACAAATGTATCTTGGGCAGGGCATTCATGTCCAATGGACATATTTCTAGCTAATTATTGTAATGAGGTTGTTTAAATGTTTTGTGAATATTGTAGAATCATAGAGTGGTCAGTAGACATGCAAGCTTCAATTTGAAATAGATTTTAAGAGTTTTGTTGCTGGTTCATTTGAAATTTTTAAATTTTCATTCTGCATGCATTAAATTAAGTTTAAAAAGATTATATTCATTCTGGTTGTATATGTACATATATATCAATCAGTTCAAATTCCTGATAGATTCTTTGTATTGACATGAATTATTTTTTTTTTAAGTTATACCAATAATTTCTGCTTTTTTTAAATTATTTTTTTTTTACCAAACCTTAAGACCACATTCTGCTAAAACTATGATATCTGGCATTTGTATGACTTTATTATAGATTTTTTTTTTCTATGGTTGAGGTGACAGGTATTGATTGATCCATATTTTTTCTTCATTTTTTGTTTGGAAATGTATAAGCCCAAATAATATCTTAATTAATTATCATTTTACTTTAAAATATGAGAAGGAAAAAAAAACCATGTACATAAAGCATGATTGTTATGGCTTTGGGGTACAGTCTAAACAGATTTTTTCTTTCATGAAATTGTTGTCTTGAAACTCCAAGAATTATATTTGCTGACTTGTACAACATATACCCAGCAAGTTGCATGATTTTGTACATGTATACTGTAAATCATGTTTAATTTGCAAGTACGGTACTTTATTTTGGCTCAATTAAGCAAGGCAGACTACTTGTGAAAATTAAATTCTTGGTTATAATTTTATCAGTAGAGATTAAGAAGAACAATGTTCACTTATATAAATACAATAAAACCATCTCATGAAAATAAGATGTTGCAAATAATTGGTGATATACAGTACTACTCAAATTTTAAAGTAATATGGTTTAATGGTTATTTTTTTACTGTATGATATACCAGGTGTACATACATGTACCTGTAAATTGAAAATTTTGTGAACTGCGTTAACTTTTTTGCAGGATTTTTTTTTTTTTTTAATAAATTTAAATGTGCCTGTATATCAAAATATCACATATAGCACAAGGGTGTTGATTAACAAAGATTTTATGAATCTTTATATTTCAAAAAAAGACTTGAAATGACCAAACATGACACTCTTTTGATGAAAAGGTGAAACATTCGGATTGACCACATTTTGTGTCTCATGAAACCAGTCCTATATTCTATTGATACAAGAATTAATTTCTGTAAACATAGTTCTGCCCATATTTATACATGCAAAATCACAGACCATATCCCTTTCAGATGTTATACAGATTGAAATCAATTGAGCTACATGTACAGTGTTGTTGTCTTGAGAAATTCATATTGCCATTTAAACATGTTTGCAAAAGAGATTAATGTTATAGTTTTAAGATTATAAAGAGCCGTGAGTCCTTATTTTGTGATGATTATGTACTTCCAGTGGTGTTCGTGATGATGACGATGACTTTATGGATGTTGATGATGATCCCGATTATGGCTCAGAAAACATTGAAAAATCACCAAAGGTAAAAACTGACAACTGTTTATCATTAGAATCAATCACAACTCAGCAATTCCAAAAAGGGTGTAGATTTAGAATAATTGCTTGCAATGAACTTATGTTTTGGCACTTTGTCATTCTAAATAAGAAAATATACTTCAACAAAGCAGAATATATTAGGCAAAAAAATTGCTGTGACAATGTCCTCCTCAATATATCTAATTCCTGGACTTTTTTAATGTCAAAGCCATGGAAAAAAAGGTGTTTGAAATGAAATTTTGAAATCTTTGGATCCTAAAGAGTAAAATACTGTAAAATTACTTGGTTTTTTTGTGGAGTCAAATTTCATGGTTTAAGGAAAACACATTGCTTCAAGCACAGGAGTTCGCGTACCTATCAATTTAACCGAAATTTTCAGTAAATAAAAAAAATACGAAATTATTACAGGTATTACGTATTTTTTTTATTTCCTGAAAATTTCGGTTAAATTGATAGGTACGCGAACTCCTGTGCTTCAAGGGACTTTGATTTTGTGGTTGAAGAGGTGATGGTAGAAAACATGAAACTGTAGTTTTAAATATTAAGATTTCTTGGAGGATATGAAAGTGTGGGCTCTTCATACATGTACCACAAAAACAGGGAAAATTTGTCCTCCAGTGTAATTAGTGATTTCACAGTAAGGGTATTTAGTGGGGTTTGAATTTAACTACTTCAGCTCATAAATGTATGGTATATGTGGAATTTAATTAGTGTCTAAGTCTGATTTCTGGATCATTTTGCAGGGTAAGAGAGGGAGGAAGAAAAGTATGTCGGAGAGTGGGTCAGCTAAAAAGAAGTACAAGAAAAGAGGACGCAAGCACTCACCAGACAAAAAAACAAAGGTATAGGGTCTTACTTTGTATAGATAAGGCTAGAAAATAAAAATCTGTTGTCAATGTATATGTTATTCATAACTGGATGAATATAAGTCTGTGGTTATCTTGTACTTTATGATTATTTATTAATAGAAAGCCAAAGAGAATGCTTCCGTTGAATCCAAGAGAAAGAGGTTGGAGATAGAAGATGTTCGTGAGAGCGAGGTTGATGAGCCAAAACAATGCTTTGGGCCTGGTTGTATTGAAGCAGCCAGACCAAATTCCAAGTATTGTTCAGATGATTGTGGTCTTAAATTGGCCAAAAGGTATGGTAATTTCATTTTTTAATGCCATATGTATATACAAGTATATGGGACATGTACGATACAAATCAGACTGATGGAAAAGGGACATATAGCAAGGAAAAAGAATTATTCTTTTTAAGTGACATAAATATGTAATTTTACAGACAAGTTTCATAATTTTCTCTGTTTATTTATAAGTATTAAAGTGTATTAAGTGTGCATTAAGGTTCTTTGATATCATTCGCTGCACTGCTGTAGCTGAATGCAGTGAGAAAACTTGTTGATGGTCAACTGATTATTCAGATTAAGTTTTTCAGATACATGTTCCAGTGTGTTATCGCATGGAATTTTAAAGCAGGTTGACCTGGTTCTGTAGGACACTTTTTGTTCAGCTAATCCGAAGTTACATGTATGTACATTGCAGTCGGATTTACGAGCTCTTGCCTCCTAAGATTTCACAATGGCAGAGCAGTCCTTGTGTGACAGAGGAGAACAATAAGAAGATGCTGGAGAAGATAAGACGCGAGCAGCTCGAATGTAGACAGAAACTGGCCGAGCTTGATCTCAGACATCAGGAGCTGGACGGCATCGTTGACCGTGCCAAAAATGTCACTATCGCCCCAGAACAAGATGTGAGGCCATTTTTTTTTTTTTTATACATTATTGACAATACAAATTCAGTAGTGGCATTATTTTTTGACAAATAGTGACTTTGTATCAGACTTGGTAACTTGTGCATGTATGAAAAAAAGGAGGAGGGGGGGGTCCTTGTTTTTTGTTTTTCAATCTGTTTATCATTTAGTGTACATGTATGAGTGACAGAAGTGTAATATTGCTACATGCCTCTTATCTGATGTTTTATATTATATATTAGTTATATTATTATTATATTATACTAGTAAAAGTATATTACCATTTAAAACATGCAATTATTTGCAGGAGAAGGATAATGAGGATGATCTGGAGTTAAGTTTGTACTGTGTTACATGTGGTGCTGAGTTAAATCAGAAAGGAGCATTACGTCATATGGAAAAATGCTTCTCCAAGGTTTGTTAAAAGCATATTAAGTCTGCAGTTACCCTTGAAATGATATGCATTCCAATTTAAAAATACCACATCAAAGCATAAATCTACAGTAGTTCCCATACCGAAATAAGTTATAACTAAGTTATAACTTTTCTGTAACTTTTTTGTACCTCAAGAAAAAGTTACATTTTAGTTATAACTTTTCTGTACCTAAAATGGACTTAGCCATTTTTAGATGTAACTAAAATATAACTTTTCTGGACTTTGTCATTTTACTGTATAACTTTTTTGTACCTTTTTGAACTTAGCCATTTTCTGGTGTAACTAAAAGATAACTTTTCTGGACTTTGTCATTTTACTGTATAACTTTTTTGTACCTTTTTGGTCTTAGCCATTTTCAGACGTAACTAAAACATAACTTTTCAGGACTTTGTCATTTTTCTGTGTAACTTTTTTGTACCTAATTTGGACTTAGTCATTTTGCAGAATGGCTACTAAGTTAAACTGAATATTTTTTTTTTTTTTTTTTTTTTTTTTTTACCATACACCTAAATTAAATTTTTTTTATATAACTGTTGAAATTTAATCATATAAAGTAATAAATAAGCATAATTATATTAGTATAGTAATACAGTTTTACATACCTGTAATATCTACAGAGGATATGAATAAAAAGGTGGGGATGATTAAGGGCTACATAAAGGTACCACTGTTTATATGCAGAATTTTCTTTATCTAAAAATTATTCATATAATGAATTGCATTATATACTGCTATTACTTACACAGACATTTATTTTTCTGTTTTGTTGTGAGTTGAGATTTTTTTTTTTTTTTTAAAGAAAAAGGGGGGCTTCTTAGACATCTTTACTACCAATGTTTTTCTCATCCATTACAGTCCACAGCCACATCCACTGTTAAGTTCAACAGAAGAGATGTGAAGTTGAGACTTGTAGTAAATTACATCTGAAGTTGGGAATAAATCTCTCTCTAAATCTCTCTCTCTCTCTCTCTCATTAATAAATGTTGTTTAATTAGTATTTGTCTCGTAAGTACTAGTTTCATCTAAAGTTGGGAATAATCTCTCTCTCTCTCTCAGAAAATACGTATTATATAGATTTCATGTTTTGTAAATTATATGCATGTACATCTTAAGGTGGAATAATTTCCCTAATTCTGGAGAAATATAAATGTTCAAGAGATATAAACAGTGGTCAAATGTTATAATCTCATGAAGTCATTTAATATTTTGCACAGATTTTTCTTCGTGTGCAAAACAGTGTTAATTTCCCCATTGTTTTCTCGTGACACAGGTGTTTGTACTAGATGACCTTTTTGGCCTACACTTCGTAAATTTCAGCTTGTGTATTACGCAATGGTACAATTTTACAAGGGTTGTTTGAAATCTAAAGTAAATCAATCATAATAAGGGTGGCTAGAAAGATAAACAACAACATACAGTGTGTGTATGTTCATTTATTAACAGATATTACGATGTTGGGAATAAAGACTGCCAGTTATATTAAGATTTTAGCAGAAGACTAGGACATGTGGATTTTATTATTTGCCTGATTAAATAACCCAGTTTTACTAGTTATTTTCATAAATAAATAAAACATTAAATTCAAAATGGCGGCAACGACACAAATATGGCGGCCCCGACGTCCGTTTTGTCCGTTTTGTTGGAACTCTGTTTCAAAATTTTAACACCAACTGGCTTTTTAATATTTAAGATAAGTTTCAAAATACACAATTATGTTTATTTGGATTTAAAATAAATTAATTATGAATTATTTATTTATTTATTTTCAATCACGTGACTTATTCTAAGTCTCTGATTGGTCAACAACAGAGCGCGGATTTTTTCATGGACGATTTGAATGTTGGTGTGCTGAAAGTGTTGATAGAAAAACGATGACAAAATCATTCGGTAAGGCAATATTTATGTTAATATTTTGATGTTTTTGGTAGGAAATGTTTATTACCTCTAGATGGGCATTCAAAAAAGAAGAAATATGTAGAATGAACAAAATTCTAGGCATGTGAATCTCAGATTTCTTGTTTGTTTTGATTGGTATGTCAATGACAAAGACTGAAGTGAAGAAATTGAAAAAAAAAAAATTTTCAGCATTTAGTATAGGAACAAAAAATGTTATTCTTTGTCATATTTAATTCTTTAAATATTCCTATAGATCAGTTTAATTATTAAATGACCTATATTGTGTAATTGTTTAACAGATTCTCTGAACTGTTTTAATATTGTACATATTGTAGCCTTTAAACACCACATGATCATAACATGATATAGTGTACTGAAATGAGTAAAATAAAATTTCTAATTTTTATTTAATTTCAGCAGTATACTGGTACATTATTTCTTTCCATGAGCATCTCATGTCTGTGCCAAGCTGGAGTGAAATCCTTCAAAAATATCACCTGTTTTAGGTAAGTAAATAATCAAATCTTATTTTTATTTCAAATTCGATAAATCTAAAGCTAATTCCTATAAAGCTGTCAGGTTCTATATTGTTCTTTATGTTTAAAATTTTTTTAATGCATGTTTATGTGATGAGCTTTGAGGTTGAATTTTCTCAATTACACAACAGAACTCTAATTTTTGTTTTCCAAGTTATAGATGCATATGCCTTGAATTTGAATGAATTGATATTAAAGAGTGGTTCCAATCTGATATGCTTTGAGTGCAGAAAACACTTCAACTTTTTTTTAAAAGAAAAAATTAAAATATTTAAAGTTTGAACCTTTTTAATTTTTGCAGAATTGAAGAAAAATGAAGAGAAGGTTGAAATTGCAAGCATATTTCAAATGAAGACTCGGACGACTACCAGTGCAGGCCACTGAGGGGCGCAGACTGTCTGCCGGCCGGCCAAGTCCCTCGACCAGCTCGGCCAAATACCAGTGCAGCCTGTCGAGGGGGACATACTGCTGGCCGGCCAAGTCCCATGACCACTTCAGCCTACTACCAGTACAACCTGTCAAGGGGCGCAGACCGCTGGCCGGATGGCCAAGTCCCTCGACCAGTTCAGCCAACTACTGGTGCAGCCCGTCTTTAAATAATCCAGATAAAAATCACAACTGTACATCCACAAGGATACCTGTGCAAGGACTTGGGTGGTATGCAGCTTAGAACTGTGACCGAAATCACTGCTTAGAACCTTCTTTTTTTTTTTTTTGAAGTACAGCTAGATCATGGCGCTAACATGAAAAACTAGAGAGTTAAAATCTAGGCAGTGATGCCTATTTATAAAAGTTCACAAGAGTAGAATGCAGTTTACTAGGTAATTTTACAAAAACTCTTATGACTATATGCTAAAAAAATGTATTTTAAGAAAACAACCATTCTGAGAAATTTCAATCTGTTATGATGGCTTGATGAAAAATAAGGTAGACTTTAAAACATGAATGTGCATTCATTCAGTTGTATTTGACAATGAACCAAGCTCTCTTAATCATGTTTATAAAATAAAATTGTAAGTGCTTTAATTTTTTTTAAATAATCTTTTTTGTAAAAATTTTAATAATCTTTTTGTAAAAATTTTAATGAGTAGCTTTTTTAAAGCCTATAATTGAGTAATTCCACCACAGGTTAACATGAAGTGTATAATTTTATTGTAACTTTTATTAGGTATAACTTTTTGTAGTTATAACTTTTTTTTAGGTATAACTTTTCTGTAACTTTTTCATAACTTTTTCATAGTTATAACTTTTCTGTAACTTTTTCATAATCTTTAAAGTTATAACTTTTCATGGGTATAACTTTTTTTAGTTATAACTTTTTCATAACTTTTTATTAAGTATAACTTTTTTATAACTTTTGAAATAACTTTTTCCGGGTATAACTTTTTTGTAACTTTTTCCACCGTTTATTTGGGTATAACTAAAGTATAACTTTGTAACTTTTTTATAACTTTTTGTGTAACTTTTAATAATTATAACTTTTTGTAGTTATAACTTTTTTGTAACTTTTTGCATTTGCTGTATTTATGTTGAAATAAAAAATGAAAACTTATACAAAAGTTATAACTTTTTTGTAACTAAGTTATAACTAAATTATACCTCACTTAAAACAGGCGGTTCCAAACTCCGATAACTTAGTTATAACTTTTTTGTACCTTTTTTTAGTTACAAAAGTTATAACTAAGTTATAATTTATTTCGGTATGGGTTATTTTATTAGAAATGACTGTAAATAAAAACTTTCAACTTTATCAGAAAGGAGAATTCTTTTAATATAGTGATATTTATTAGATTTACATATAAGTGTACTCTGAACAGACTGAGAACAGTATCATTTCATTTGGCTATGAAGTGAGAGAGGTCTTAAAACCATTTAGTATATATATATATGTGTGTGTTAACAGTTTGAAGCCCAGACCTCTTTCGGCTCTATCTACAAGACAAGGATTGAAGGGAACTCTATGTTCTGCGATTACTATAACACACAGCAGAAAGTGTATTGTAAACGACTCAAAGTCCTGTGTCCAGAACACACCAAGGAACCAAAGGTTGTGCAATGCTTCTCTGGAATTTTTTAATGTATAACTAATAGATAATAGATTATTAGTAAGAATACTCAGTAGGAGAATTGAAATTTGATACCTAACTCTCGAGATAGTAGATAGAAAATATAGCAACTTTCCCTCAAATCAGTAAAAATACAGTTAAAACACATTAAACTTGTATAAATTCTCCAGCCTTCTTTCGTGTTAAATGTTATTAAGCCCCTCCTCCCCACCATCAAGGTTGTTTAAACTCTAAATCGTGATGAATGACGAACATTTTTCATGCAAATTATAATAAATGTTTAAGTCATTAATTTAAAGTATAAATAGTTAACTGAAGAGGCATTTTACTTAAGGTCGGACCAGAAGAGGTGTGTGGATGCCCTCTAGTGGTGGATGTTTTCATTGAAACTGGGGAAATCTGTAGAGCCCCAAAGAAGAAGTGCAATAAACATTACTGCTGGGAGAAATTACGCCGAGCCGAAATCGACATGGAGCGTGTTAGACAGGTTGGAAAATTTATGAACGTTTTACAGTGTATAATTAGAAATCAAATGAACTTCAACGGTTATCTCAATAAATAGAGTTAAAGGAAGTACATGTACATACATGCCGGTACAATGTTCATTACAATTCAGCGTATGTCCACTTTTGCAAAGATGGTTTCCTTACAAGTATCATTTTGAACAAAGTACTCTTTACTTTTTAGTGGCTGAAACTAGATGACCTCTTTGAGCAGGAGAGGAATATTCGTGTTTCCATGGCAAACCGTGTGGGAGTCCTAGGACTGATGCTCCACCAAACGGTGGATCATGATCCGTTAAATCCGATTCGACCTCCAAACATGGAGTAAATCCAAAAAAACCTTAGGATTCCAGCAATGTGTTCTCATTTTCTGTTATTGATAGGGCTGATAATGAAATTCTTTATACGGTGCCAACAAATTGGGATCATTTAAACTTAAAATGACAGTGACTTGTAAGTAAATTATTAAGTAGTGGATCCCATGCTAGAAGTTCCACTTTTTAATCCAATATACATTTGTACATGCACCTCATATGTACATGTATGTAAACTAATGCATTAATGTTGTATATATCCGTTTGATTTTTTTTTACCCTGTACGCTTTTCCATTATTAAAGTGTATTTATTCTGTGTATAAATGATTTGTTGTTTATTCAGTGAGATCATTCCAACATTTTCAATTTCACAAGCTACATACTGTATTAAAAATTGCATATTTTCCTGGGGTCAAATTTCCAAGGTTTGAGGAAAAATTATGGGTTCGTGAGGATTTGATTTTGAGAATGAAGAATTTAAAGAGTAGATATGTACATGTACATGTATATAGCATTTTGCATTTTGTGGTGGACATGAATTCAGGGGTTTCTTCATACCTCGAAAACAACAACAACAAATAACTTCCTTTCACAATAATGTTCTTGTCTAATTTTGTGTAGTGCTGAGTTTGAAACAACTGTCATGAACACTAATTCAATGTTGCTTCTGATCAAGAATCTATTGATAGGAGAGGTTATTTGGACATTATTTAGACAAGATTAAATGTTTCAGTCTACTGCAGAGAAATTTCTCACTGGAATACATTTGTACATTGTAGTCTTAATGAAATAAAATTTACTTATTACTTACTCAGTGCAGAGATACTGTACAGCCATATCTAAGTTACAATGCAAAAGACCCATTTATAAATTTTATGCTTGTACAAATATACATGTACAACTTTATTCGGTGAAAAATAAATACCGTAAAATCACTAAGTTTCAGGGAGTTTTTTCGTTGTTTTTGAGGTTTCAAAAAACCCCTGAATTCATGTCCAAAATGAAATGTAAAATACAATATACATGTATATAACATGTACATGTACAAAACTACTCAACACTTCCCCACCAAAAAATCAAGTCCCCTTAAACCAATATTTTTTTCTTCAAACCTCAAAAATTTGACCCCAAGAAAATGTGACTCCACAGTACCTAAAGTACAGATGGCTATTGAGCAAGATATTCTTGATCACACTTCATGGTTAGTTGAGCAAGGATTTGATTGGGGTTTATTTGAAGACCCAATGCAAAAAATTTCCAAATTTTCTTATCTAACCTTTTTTGCCTTTTGAGAAGTACTGATTACATCACAAAGCTTTAGTTTACTGAAGTGACCAGTGTTCACAGAATCTCTCTGAAGAACTTTCTTTAAACCTGCTGAAGTTCAGATTTTTCTGGCATCAGAATTACAGTTGAACTTCGGTATCTCCAACACTGATATCTCGAATATCATGGATATGTCGAAGTGATTTGGAAGTCCCATCCCCTTATTCTTTAAGTATTTTACCCTGGATATCTTGAATCCTCGGATATCTCAAAGTTTTTTCTGGGTCTCCTTGAGTTCGAGATAACGAGGTTTGACTGTACAAGTAAACATTTTTGGTTGTTCACGTGGCTGACAAGTACAACAAATTCTTTATGTTGAAGATACAAAGTGTTAGAAAATACACATCATTGTATCAGTAGAAGTAATCTGAATCTGCACTCTACAGTAAAGAGGATATCATTTTGAAACACAAAGTATTTATGTTTAAAGGTTTATTTCAATAAATGCTAAACTTATTAAATATCCTAGCTGTTTGACGACCAAGACACTTTCTAAGTTCACTGGGTGTTAACCATGCATAGTCTAAAACTTGTTCACTAGGAATCACAGAGCCACCTCTGTATTCTGCCTTGTGTATGAAAATCTGTAAAAAAAAAAAAGAATTAAAAAGTTAAGTTATTTACATTTATATATTACATACACATGATAAAGTCGTTCTTATAACTGGAGAACACTTAAGAATGCAAGAAATTAACAAGGATGTTTTAATTCACATGTATAATTATTAACAACACTGTAAATTAAATCATCAAGGAATGAATTTAATAGCTACCCAAGTTATACTTGTATAACCTGGGGCTGGGGCAGTTTACGCTTTATAAACCGCAAAGCGATTTATAAAAAAGCGTAAACTGTTTCAACCCAGGTTATACAAGTATAACTTGGGTAGCTATTAAATTCATCACTTTTAATTTATTTTTCCATCATTAAGTGTAGAAAATATGACAATTTTTCCTTCAAAAATGCCTTCAAATTGTACATATTTTAAATCTAAAGTCAAGCGGATTGATATGTTTTGAGTGATGCAATTAAGTCATTGTGACTTAGGCAACACAGGTTATACAATATAAACTGTTTTTTTTTATCCAATCAAATGATGCGTTACAACCAAAATTAAATTATTGTGCAATTATGCAACAATTTTCAATTGATCAATGTCAATGGTCCACAGAGATAAATATTCACAAGCTAGAGTTGCTTGCATATTTCTTCCACACATATAAGAATTGATTTACAGTACCCATTTAAAAGGTACACAGTACAGTTTGGTACACAAATACGGGTTTTTATGTAGAGGAGCCACCCCTTCTCACCTTTGAACCCTTTAATTTAGTTTCTTCCTGCACCTCTTTCCTGTATTCCTTGATTTGGTAACCACTCGGGGCATTTCCAAATAACATGTATTTTAGATCTGTTCCACACGTGTCTGCTACGGCTTTTTCTGCAACCTACATGTACAGGTATGACACATATATAAGCTTTATTACTTGTTCTTTTGGTAAAAGCTACATTTATTAAAATTAATTCTGTGATTTTTAATCTGGACGAAAATTTTTTTTTATTTCATGTCTCTCTGAGTGTTACCCAATTGTTATCTTGGCCATAACTACAAGAGTATAAATCTGTTCTTTGGAGGAGGGGTAAAATACAATTTTTGTGCCAAATTTGTATTCCAATCTGGTTCTTTGTACCATGTTTGACCTGTATGTACCTGTCTCATGGACATTCCCTGTGCATGCTGCATCACTGGTAGGTACCAAAATTCTTTTCCCCCTATATTCTGTTTGACGACCAGCACTAATGTCTGATCAAGTTTTCTGTCCACGGTCTTCACATCGCCTGTCTTGTCTGCCTCTAGGTAATGGAAGAATCACATATATATCAATAGTAAAAAAATGGAAGTTAATTTTTCTACTAAGAGCTGTTTATAATTAAATAATAATTTGAGCACTTATTTTGTTCCTCCAAATTTCCAAAAATGTAAGAAAAATGTATGGGTTTTTTTGTTATTAATAAAAATCAACATGCCCAATTGCATAAAAATTAAGAGCAAACTAAAATCATTTTTCAATTTCAGTTACATTTTACAATGCAGCCTTTATTCAACTCAAGATAAAGATATTTTATATCATTTAAACTGTAAATACTGCAATTTTCTGATGGAATAGAGGTGATATTTTTTCACTTGTGAAAAAAAAAGAAGAAAAAAATCCTATCCCACTGATGACATTAATTCCATATCCAACTACAAAACATTGAATATCCTCTACAGTATATATTCCAAAAAGCTCTTCATTTATTAAAAAGAAAACTTGCTGTATTTTTACGATTGGCTGGGCAGATTAATTGATTCAACCCATTTAGGCATCTGGCAAATTTAATATTAAGTATGCACTACTTTGTTTGCCACAGTCAACCATAAGGGGGCAGAATCACAGAACTTTAGATCGCTTTAATCCGATTTACAAAAAAATTGAGGTGTAAAAAAAAAGATATTTTTTCACACCCCAAATTTTTTCTATGTCGGAATAAAGCACTGAATACTTGAGTTCTCATAAAAATTGCTCATTCTCATTAAGGATTACTATGACTGTTTTCAAATCACCTGTCTCACGATCTGCTGGTTTAAATGATGTGAAGTCTTTATTCCATATATTCTCTTTATCCTGCATGGTTATGATTGGGATATTTCTTAGGTGAAGTGGTGTGTCTAATACATTCTTTCTCTGCTCAGCTAACCGGTGTCTGAAATAAAATCAATTTTGAATTCTGAATAGAAATGCTGATGGTTAAAATTGAAAAATATTTGTATTTCTGATCATGATGAATTTAACTTTGTTAACTTAAAGATGTTAACTTTAAAAAATATTAACATTATTAAAACTCTTATGTTTTTTGCATTTATCACGTTAAATGTTTCTTTTTCCTAAATACTTGGAAAATATTCATGAGAACTACCATGTGACAATTCTTTTAGCTTAAATACAAAAAATTTCAACTATCGTAAACAGATATTGTTCAACTTCAAGCATATTCCTCCAAAATGATCTGAAAATATACATTCAGCTTATAAACAAACCAACTAACATGAGGATTAAATAAACCATTCTACTCCCTACCTGCAGTAATGTAGCCCTGATCCCCAAATTTTTTGTAATTTTTTTCCCCTGAAATATCAGATAAAAAATTGGAGAGGGCTACATTATTGCAGCCCCCCCCCATCCCGCCCCCTTTGCACTCAACATGCCCAAAGAATTTCTTACTCTTCCTCTGTCTTGGCATTTTCATAATCTGAAAGTAGACTCTGTTCCATTTCTAGCTGTTGTCTGTACTCCTTGTATTCCCTCTCAATCTTCTTCATGGGCGGGGTAATGACAGGTATGCGTTCTATGTACATAGCCCCCATCAGATTCCATCTCTCTGGATCCTCACTTAGATTGACAGCTACTTTTTGATTGTAAAATCTGCTTTGTTGAGCTGTGGCAAATGAGATATATATATAATTTTATTTTTAAAATAATAATAACTTTCATCACCATGATAAAACATAGGTAATCAAAGATTACGAAGTTCACCTAGACGAATGTTATCTATAAGTAAGGCAAATTTCTTATCATATTTTTTTTTCTAATATCCATGCAAGTTTGGTTTGAGCAGGACTTATAGTTACTTGGAAATAGACATGTTCAAAAAACAATGTTTTGGAAAATGTAAGTCAGATTCAGAATCCAAAGAAAGTCTGGAAGTGTCCATCCCTAGATACATCATCCATGCTACATGTAATTTGGTTAAAAATATGGCTAAAATTCACTCATGTGGAAAATCTAGGTCAGATCCAGCATCCAAAGCAGGTTGGTTAGTGTACATCCCTAGATGCATCATCCATGCAAGTTTGGTCCAGGTAGGGCTTATGGTTACTTGGGAATGGGACTGCTCCAAAATCTAAACATTGTCTCACATGTGGAAAATCTAGCTCAGATCCAGCATCCGAAGTAAGTGTGTAGTGTCCATCCCTGGATGCATCATCCATGCAAGTTTGCTCTAGGTAGGGCTTACAGTTACTTGAGAATGGACCTGCTCCAAAAACTTTAACCTGGTCACTCATCTGGAAAATCTAGGTCAGATCCAGCATCCAAAGCAAGTTTGGTAGTGTTCATCCCTAACTTATGCAAGTGCAAGTTTAGTCCAGGTAGGGCTTATAGTTACTTGGGAATGGACCTGCTCCAAAAACTTTAACCTGGTCACTCATATGGAAAATCTAGGTCAGATCCAGCATCCGAAGAAAGTGTGGTAGTGTCCATCCCTAGATGCATCATTCATCCATGCACGTTTGGTCCAGATAGGGCTTATAGTTACTTGGGAATGGGACTTGCTCCTAAAACTTTAACGGGGACACCGACGCTAACGCTGACGCCGGGGGTTATAGCATAAGCTCATCTCGACTTCATCGAGGTCAGCTAAAAAGTAACTAATACCATTTCAAAAAAAATAAATAAATAAAATAAAAAATATATCAAAGTCGTGATTTTTTTCCCATTTTCTTGCTACCTGGTCTATTTAGAACTTGATTTTATGCTAATAAAACTGTATATAATTTACTTTGGTTGCCTATTTGGGTATGGTATTTGAACGATAAATTTCGAATTATTGTCTGACGTCATGGTGTCAGACAGTACTAGTTTTAGCCAAGGCTTGTTGGTCAAGTCGTTCAATAAAATTCTTGCGATAATTCTATCTTGGAAACTTCATTTTTTCTTAGCACAGGGATTAATGAAAACATGCTAAACACACAAACAAGCCAAATCATTGGACCTAATTATTATCACATTATATATTACACGTTACATAACATTTGTCCATTCTCTTATGCACCATTTATCATTCATGTAAACCCAGCAAAACAACAGAAATGAAGCTGGTCAGGTCAACACTTATCGAATATCCTTATCAAATTATCTAATAGATGTTTATTTTCAATGCATACAAAGTCTTTCTCCCTTTACACATGTTCCTAACTTTGCAGACATTTGATTTATTCATAGTTAAAAAAATATTTAAGTGAAAGATAGATGATTCACATTTTTTGCTGATATTCAAAGATATTAGCCAGTTTATTACTTTAAAAAAAAAAAATCGTACATGTAATCATCCAAAACTGTTCACTAATTAATGTTTAGATTTTTATGTGTTGGAACTGTAGTTTCACAGGGGAGGGGGCTAGATAGAATGTTCTATCATTAAAATGATAAATGTCCTACGGACCCGGTTTAACTCTAACTGTGGTGAGGACCTGTCACGAGACACAGTTAGATTTTTCTAACTAGGGAGGGGGCGAACAACCAAAAATTTTAGTGGGGCACTATCAAGGAAAAATTCCTTGTCAAGCAAAAACAATTATCATACGCTATTATTTACATTATTTAGGAGACACAAGTATAAAGTAGCAATGTTTTCTATAGCATATTATATATCGACAAAATATTGGGGGGTCCCCGAGTCCTCCTCTCCTCGGTTCCCACGGCTATGAAAAAAAGTAAGTCAGTATATATAGAATAATTTATTTATTGTTGATGCCACTGGATTGAACTTTTCTTGTTTCTTAGCAAATTAATTTATTTCTAGACTCAGAGTTTTGTTGAACTCGCTGGATTCAACTTTCTAAATTTTTCTTATAACAATAAATTTGCTCACGTCAGACAAGCTTTTTAAGAAAGCTAATACTTGTGTTATAGAATAGAATAGGATGTAGATCCAGATCGTCGATTTACCCAAAAGGACACAAAAGGAACCCAAAAGGACTAGAAATTAAGGGGATAACTGGATATTCAATGAACACTATCATACTTTATTGAAAATAAAACAGTAGTTTTTTTTTGGGGGGGGGGGATGTGTGTTTGGGTGGGGGATTAAATTGGGGCCCAAATGGGTACAAATATATAACATATAAAATTTGGTACAGATAGAGTAATAAACAATAGACAACATACATGTATGTATATAAACTTTCGCAAAATACTTTTAAAAAGGCAAATTCATAAATCATCCTGGTGCCATCTCTCAGTAAGAATATTTCACAGCAAGACCGAATTTGTGCTACGAGGAAATTCGAAATTCTCAATGCGCTATCAGTTTGCTGTCGATTCGAGTCTTGTAAGAGACAATGAACAGATCTACTTACTTTCACTTCTTTTTAGTAATCTTGGTACTCTGAAAATTAAATTGCATGTTCTTCTAGCAGACCAAGACATTTTTTCAAGTGCAAGATCTTATGAGTTCATGTTATTTTCATTCCATTCGGCACACCTCGGCCGATTCGTACCTCATCTAACACCGAGGTTTGCCGAATGATTTTCATTCATAAACATATTTGAAATTGTCTCCCTTGATAGAACTCTTTTCAGTGGCTTTGGGTAAATCCAGTACACAGGTACTTGTTCCGGTAATAATTTTTTTTAACCCATATTACTATATGGTTTAAAAAAAATTATTATCCAGACAGGTGCCTATGGGAAAGAGAGAAGAGAGAATACACAAATCTTAAACATTAAAATAAAGCATTAGGTATTTTTAAAATTCTATAATAAATTGAAGTCGTGGTGATTATTTTATTCCATAGCAAATTTGCCATTTGTATATATCACCGACGTTTAACCGTTCATTAAAGGGGATAGATATATACAGTCCAGCCGTCCTTTTATCGAATATTTCCTGCACAAATCTTAAACAATTGATATAAAGCATCATACATTATTTTTAAGAGTCTATAATAAATTGAAGTTGTGGTGATTATTTTAAATTCCATAGCAAATTTGCCATATGCCATATTAAATGTTGTGCAAGATCAATATAAATTGCTGGATTTTTACGTATCAGTCATTGTGGGATTGTTGTCAAATCACTGCTGAAAATAATGATATATATATTTTTTGTTGAGAAAAATATATTCCGTATACATGTATTAAACTGAAGGTCTTAACATGCTTAAGAAAGTACATAGATCTACATGTATACCCCAAACGACCATCATTATTATACCTGTATAATGTACTACATGTATAAGTATCCATAAATTAACGAATATTTCAGAAGGAAATACGTATTCATAATTGTCAATAATTATGTCAAAATGCTAAATTATTACATGTACATGTTAATTGATATTTTTGCATAGAAAAAAAAAAAATAAATAAAAACTCTTGTATGATACTTCTCTCTCTCTCTCTCTCTCTCTCTCTCTCTCTCTAATTAAGGAAACGTTCAGTGGCTGCATACATGTATTTCACTCAATTGTTCTTTAATATTCATCACTTTATCATAAAGCTTTGTCGTTAGGCTGCTATTAACGTCTTTTTCTAGTAAAATACGAAACAGATATGTTAGACTCTGTGGTATCTTTTATTTCAAGCTCACTGGGATACATCGAGTCGACATATGAATGGAGATAACTATTGTTAATTGATAATACCCCGTCGATATATCGAAATGTCGAGTTGAAGGTCACAGCAAGTGCTTTGTTTTTCTCATGTAGAAGTTTTTGAATAAATTCTGCTTCATATGAATACAAAAAGGTCTGCTAATAACGGGGCGCAATTGGTACCCATAGCAATTCCATCAGATTGTTGGAAGACCTGATCTCCAAAAACTACAAAGATATTGTCAATCGGAAACTCAAGCCTCTTTTTAATATCAACTTCAGAGTACTTGTGTGTACAATTGGAATGATTTTTAACAAAATAATTTTGCAAATGACCGATGACAAGGTAAGTATATATACGAGTTCCATTTTTATTTAAAAAGCAGCTGTCTATAATATCAAAAAGTCTGGATTTCAATTTACCGTGGGGAATGGTTGTATAAAATGTTGAAATGCGTACGTTTTGATATTATTGATTTTAGTAAAATTTTGTGATGTCAAATCTCACAAATACTGAATTCAAAATATTAGCCATTGTACATGTATTAGCTAACGGACTTCATAAGATAAAAGAGCTATTAAATAGTAAACAGCAATCTGCATACATAAAGGGAAGATATATAGGAGAAAATGCAAGAACAATTTTTTGATATATTTGAATATTGTGAAAATAAAAATTAAAATATAGAATTTTACTTTTCTTAGATTTTCAAAAAGCTTTTGATTCAGTTGGATGGAATTTCATCTTTGACAGGTTTTAACTTTGGAGAATTTTTTCTGCAATGGATCTCGATAATGTATAAAGAATCAATTATTAAACTAATAAATAATGGATGGATTTCAAACACATGTAATATAGAGAGGGATAAAAGACAAGGGTGCCCTATTTCTTCGATGATATTCCTTTTTGTTGCAGAAATCTTGTCAATAAGGATAATGTCTGACGATGACATTCTTGGATTTATAGCTCCAAAGATATCAAAGGATATAAAAATGATACAACACTCTGATGATGCAACATTAGTACTGATGCTAACGATGAAAGCGATGCTAACGATGAAAAATCATTAGGACTAGCAATAACTTGCATAAAAAACTTTGGAAATATTTCTGGATTGATTCTTAACATTAACAAAACGAATTGCATGCTTACTGGGGGAATCTGAAGGATACGGCTCATAATTTACACGGAATAAAGGTCAATAAAGAATGAAATATAGTCTTAGGAATTTATGTATAGGTCATGATATAGATGTATATGTCTAGAAAAATACTGGGAAACAAAATTAAAATGCTTGGGAGACTTTTAATCATAAAAAATGAACTAAAAATAAAAACCTGCATTATTAGCAGTCTTGATATATCAAAAATAAAATATACAACCATTCACTCTTACCATATCCAAGTGCTAATATCGAAGAAAATATAAATAAAATTAGCTTCAATTTTATCTGGAACAAAAGAGATAGAATAAAAAGGAAAACTTTAATTGGGTACACTCAACAGATTGGGATAGAAGTTTTGAATATTGAGTCCAAAGCGGAAGCAATTAAATGTTCATGGATTTCAAAATAAATATCTAACTAACAGCACATTTAAAAAAAAATTGAATTAAAACAACTTGATATTATGTACATGGTGCCCACTAATAAATTAGCAATACGTAACCAATATAGTATACTTAAGCCTCTTCCAATATGTTATAGAGAAATTTTTGAAGCATTTAGTGAATCTAAGAGCTCAATGGAAATAGGTAAAATGATTACATATGACTATTTGACAATGAGGAAAGATTTTCAATTACAACTAAGCACTATTTTTCAAAAACTGGTATGATGCTGGAATCATATATATGTAAAAGAAATTAAGCCACTAAAATACTTTTCAAAGATGCTTGTTAAAAATAACATATTTTGGGAATACTTTATATTAAAAAAAAAGATTTTCATAAATATAAAAAATCAGTTTATCAAATAAAATACGCGAATATCAGAAATGGTCTATAAGGTTTATATTTTCTTTTTTATGACAACTATTATTACTGCATTAAAGAAAAAAGTGTAAATTAAAAAAAAAAAGACATACTATATTAACAAGTTGACATAAGATTACATTATTCAAGCACCATGTTTTCAAAAATATATTTTTCAAAAATTGTCAAAGTTTTTGGCAAGAAATTCTAACTAAAGAATACTTAACAATTAGCTTAATAACAGAATTTATTTAAGCAAATGGAAAGGCATATCTAATGTATGTCGTTATTGTAAAAAATGTTGAAACAATCATGCACCTATTATATGAATGAATTAGATGAATAACATGAATATTATATGAACGCAAAAATATATAAAAGAATAAGGAGTGTTGAATATATAGGAAATATTAAAATTCAATATATCATGGAAAGCAGTTGTATGATTCTATAATGAAGCCAATGAAAAAAACAATTTTGTTAACCAATCTTTTATCATTAATTTTGTAGCCCTTCTATCTATAAATGCAGAATGTTGCGTAGAATAGAGGAAACAGCTGAATCATTAGAAGGAATTATATGTAATGTTAAAAAGTCCTTAAACACATTTTATTATGCTCTTAAAAGATCAATTGAAAATTGAATATATTTTTTTTTGTAAAAATGTCGAAGTAATATTGTAATTTTAATTATCCATTTTTTTGTAATATAAATTATACAAACTCTACTTTATCCCATTGCTTTCTTTGTAATTGGTACTTTTACTTTCTTTTTCTCCAGTAAATATGTGTCATTGTTTTTCGCATAATTGCATGGATTGTTTTCACTGTAATTGTTTTTCTCCGGTGTACATTTGTGATAAAACTTGAATGTATATAAGTTAAAAGATTTGTATGATACAGGGAAATAAATATTTTTTCGTATTATATGTACTTATTATTATATATACTAATAGCCACTAGTAAGAAGGCCCAGTCCTCTTACAGGGCTGCCTAATGAGTCAACTATAAACTTTTGTGGGATGATATGGACTCATTATGGCAGTATGGCATAATTATGTAATAGCTCATGTATTAAAGCAAACTGAAAAAAAGAATCATTGTATCTAATCATTTGATATTACGTATCTTCCCCTGAAAATCGTATCATTATATATATATCATGATAAACATATCAAAATCATACTTCAAGACAACCCAGTAAGAGAATACACTCGTACAGAAAAAAAAAATCAAAAGTAAAACGATTTAAAGAACAGCATTTATGTAGATATCGGACATGAAGGATGGTGTACCTGGTTGTTATTTTCTTGATTCTCTCATGATTTGTATATGCATTAAATGCTAGCTCTAATAAGGATGTTTGTTTCAAGAGAATCTGTACTACCCAGCTTGAAAAACATTTTTTGCAGATTCATTAAATTCTATAGCGTTTGAAGGAAATTCTGATTTCGAGAGAAAGCCGTTCTAATACAGATAGGATTATAATATACAATGAAAGGAAAGGACATTTCGGTTGGGCTTGAATCAAAAAACAAATAGGTATTTAGTAACAATTAAAAGGTAAAATTGCATCTTAATTTGCACAAAAATAAAAAATATATACAATGTATTTAAAAAAACCCAATACAAATGTAAACCATACAAGATATACACAGCATTAACTATGCACATCAAAGCCGCAACAAGAGAGCTGACAAGTTTTACTGTTCTCTTTGATTAATATGAAACCTAGACATAATAATTTGGATTTAGACATAAAAAAAAATAAAACAATATGATCTGTATAACAAATCTGCAGTCGAACCTCGTTATCTTTAACTCCATGTGACAGAGTGAAAACTTCGAGATATCCGAGGTTTCGAGAATTTGGGGGTAAAATACATAAAGAAT